GGGGGGGTCCACACCCCAGATCCAGCCCCTTCTTAAAGGCCAGCCAACCCCGTGGCCTGAGTGAGCACCTCTCTCCTTCCTCCCAACTGTCCTCTCGGCGGACATGGACCCGTCTGGACTCTGGGGAGCAGTACCCAGTGTAGTCGGACCTGGACTCTGCCAGCTCCCTCCTAACCCCAGGACCCAACCCACTGCCCTGCGGCCGGTGGATTCAAACCTCTGAGCTTTGGGTTAGCAGTTCAATGCGTCCCCCAACACACCACCGGGGCTTCCCCTGTGTGTGAACTCTACAACAGATCTGCTGGATGAGCACGGGGCGCAGAACCCCTCGACAGCAGGTGCTGAGCTGTTCTCAACCGCCTCAAAGCCCCAGCGTGACGCCGCCCTTTCAGTCAGCCGCACAGTCTAACGGCCACATCACCAGAGCTCCGTCCCCAGCACTGTACCCCCTCTCTTCAGGCTGCGTCTCTCCAACCCCCTGGAACCAAAGCTGGTGAAGACACGGGCCGGGGCTGGCGTGTGGGAGGGCTGCCTCTGCCCACCCCCCACGGGCCAGTGGACGGCAGGTGCTTGGGACCCCTCCCTGTGTGGCTTGTCTCCTCTGTACTCGCACGTCCCATAGGGAGCCCTGTCTGTGAGGTGTCATGGGGACCACCGCTCACCGTACAGGAAGCCATCAGGCCAGATGAGGCACGCGTCCCCTCCAGCCGAGCACAGCAGGGCCGCCTGGAGCAGGGTGGTGTAGCGCCCACGTGGGGCCTGGACCCGCAGGAAGAGGACAAGGCTGAGCACCGGCAGGCATTTGACCAGGGCCCCGGTCAGGGACGGCGGGGCCTCGGGGATCCAGAACCAGAAGTAGGCAGCGCAGGTGAGGAGGAAGGGGCTGAGTGACCAGGCCACACGCAGGATCTTAGGGCGCAGGGGAGAGGGTCACTGAACCCCGGAACCCGAGTCCAGTAGGCCGTCCTCAGCCAAGTCCTCACACCCGTCACCCCAGCCTCCCCGAGCCCAGCCAGGGCAGCGCCCAGGTGCGGGGCTTCTGCCCATCCCTGCTGTCACCCAGCCTGTCCAGGGCCAGGACTCCCCAAACCCAAAGACACTGGCTGATTACTCAATCCAGGGCTCCTTAGCCAGCAGCTCGTGGCCAGGTCCTGGGCCCCCGTCTCCTCCCACCGGGAGCTCTCACGTGGGCTATGAGGCCGGGCTCTCTGGGCAGGTCCCTAGCCCTGGTGTCCATGCTGCTGCTGTCACCCCCGGCCGCCTCTGATGGGGGCCAGTGGCTTTGGGGGCTGGTGGGGAGGGTGCATGGTTACACGTTAACCCAGAGGAGCGTCCTGTGGACTCTGGGACTGATAAGAGGGTACAGGGAGATGCCACCTCAGCCTGGGGACAGCCCTGCCTGGCACTGGCTGATAAGGTGCCACCAAGACCCCGGGGTCACTCCGCAACCTGTACCCTGCCACCGACTGGGGGCTGCGAGCCCCTCTGAGTGGCCTGACCAATAGGAAGGAGTTGGGGTGGTGTTCCGCGGCCTGCTCCCTGGGGAGAGGGGACAAGTCCAGGCCGGCCTACGACCAGGCATGGACCAGGCATGGACCAGGCATGGTCGGTGCGGGAGACAGATGGCAGAGCGACCTCTCTCCACGTACTGTGCCAAGAGAGCACACAGGCCTGGCAGCACTGATGGCCCTCAGGGCCCCTGACCCTGCAGGACAGAGCACCACCCCCTA